GGAAAGCAAACAGCTTGTCAGGTGGTATTACGGTTAAAGTTAAAAACAAAAGAAAAAACCTGCCATGGTGCTAATGGTGTTTTCTTGTTATTATGCTTTCTGGTGTGATATATCCACAGGGTAACTAACACCGTCTAGATTGCTTCTTTTTTAGTGCTGGTTTATTTTAACAGGTTATTCACTGATTTTTCACCTAGGACAACTGGAGAGATGTGAACATATTTATTCTCTACCCTTTTCAGTATTAAAACAATTCTATTTATGCTGTATTTTGGTAGGGTGTTCCCAGCAGCCCTGAAACTTTAGTGGTGACTTGCCTGAACACCTCTTGCCCACCTCGAGGGAGATCCAAGGCTACACTCTGCTCCGTACCGAGTTTCAGTTATGGCTTTTTAATAATATAAAAGCACAAGAAAAAAGGAAGACTTTTTTCCACGTTCTCTTTTAAATAAACAAAGGTTCCTCTCCTCCTCTCACCCTACCTCACGTTCACAAACAAGCAACAGATGCCATAGATTCACTTTGTACCTGGGCTTTTGATCAGGTAGCACTTTGATTTTCAGTGCTCACTTTTGACAAGGAAGGGAATGAGAGACCCATTTTTGTGACATTAATAGAGCCTTTTCTGCTGTGGTAATTTATTTGTGCTCTGCTAATAATTTTCTGCTGATCTGTGTAGATTCTTCATGTCAGCCACAGAGAACAGGACAGAGTGACAAAACATGGTTTTCATCACCCTGAAAGATTTTTCAGGGGCGTGGGGTAGTGTGGGCTGCTGTTCCCTCTGACAACCTTTGCCTGCACTGTAAAACAGGACTGTGGGCCTGTGCACTGCACCCATGCCCAGGATGGGAGAGGGTAAATGCATACAACCTCCAGCACTGGGTGCTATCCCCAGGACTGACATCGAGGAAGAAGACTCATTTTAACGCTTTGCAGGCAGCTGGTAAGAACAAGGAAAAGGCTTCTCTAAGAGGCTTACATACAAAACAGTACCGAAAAGGGCAAATCAAAGACAGCAAAGGTGGGAAAAGCAATGTTTCTGTGCAATAGCTCCATCCTGCAGGTGCTCCTCTGAGACCTTGCTGAAGCGCATGTGGCAGACAAAAGCTTTAGTAGCCATTTTAATGCAAATCAACTATACACATAACCTGGTATTTCACAGTCCCCTGTTCCCACAAGGGCACAGTCATTCTCTTTGAGGCCTCATGAGCCTCCTCAGCCCTTGCACATGAGCAGCTCCTTCCTGCCCTGTGCTCCTCAGCATCACAAGGAAGGACGAGGAGCAGCGAGGGGCTCAGGGCAGGTCACCCAGCAGCAAAACAGAGGCAGAACAGTCTGCTTTGCAGCACAAAGACAGCCCCACGTGTGGTGTAAGCACCACCAGGCACTAGTGACTTTATTACCTAACGGTCCAATGTCAGCCAACAACATGAATCATTCTACCAGCACCAGCACTGCTGGAGACCCTTCCCAAGAGCATTCATGATGGGAAATGCATTTGGAGAGGAGCTAAAAAAGACCCCCAGAGATCAGAGCTGAAAGACACTGGCAAGTCAGCATCAGAAAATTCACATCCCACCTGCCCATACCCCAACCCTTCTCCAGAGAGGGCTGCCTGCTCCCAGCTGTCAGTCCCGGGCGGGCTCCGTGGCAGACGCACTCGCCGCGTGCTCGACGGCAGGGAAAGCAGGAGTGAGAATAGTGGGCACCTGGCTGGCGGGAGGTGTGACAAATCCTTGGCAGAGCACAAAACCGAGAGCAGTTTTAAAATCAGCAACAAGCATCTGACAGCTCTTGCAAGAGCCTCCTCGGCGTTCCTGTGCCGTCACCATGCTCTCCGAGGGCGGATGCGGGAGTTGGGGACCGTCGGTGTGGGAAAGTACTGTTCAGCGGGAAGACACGGGGCAAACCCCAAAGCATTATCACTGATCCAGACACTGTTTGGCAGTTTGGTACACCATGGTTTTCATTCCAGCTGAGGAATATTATATGGTTGCTCATGTAAAATTAAGCCTAATTTGGCATTAAGATTCTGCAAAATTATGCCTGGACATGAGGAAACAAAGTGAACTGAGTAGCGACTAAGCCTGTATTGATTTTTACGTGTGTGTGTCTCTATCATTACTACTAAGCTGGTGACACTGTGAAGGGCACAATTATTTATGTTCCATCAAATTAGTGAGTAATTCAAATCCCTGACGAAATCTCAAGCAAGAATTGCTTTCACTTCTACAGAAAGTCCTTCTGACTCTGGAATTGTTCACTTACCCCTGGAAGGGCACTGTAAGAGTAAAAGAACTTCACAGAAAAAAAAAATGAAAAGCTATGCAATAAAAATTCAAACACAGCTCACGCAGTCATGAGTATCATCCCTACATCTATCTGAGGGTCACCAGATCTGTCACCATTATGGGGACAGTGTGGGAACCTTACACAGAGTTGAGTCCCCCTGTAGGACCAGGCCTTCTAATAGATGAAGAAATGAGGATGATGATGAGTATTTGTGTGGGTGTGTAATTTCCTCTTTGAAAACTCAAGGATTAAGAGGAATGAGTGACTGTTCTGCACAACTAAAGAAGGATGCTCTGCTAGTTGGAGGGAGAGGAAATCTTGTTGAGATGAGGCACATGGGAGGATTTAACCTGGAAGGCTGGTGATCTCTCCAGCCAGCACACGATATGTGACCATGGTCTAATTTGAAAGCAAGGCAGTTATCTCAACTATCTCAAGGTAGTTCCCTCCATTCATAATGCCTTCTTGATTTTTACACTATAGGCAAGTGCCTCTGTATTGTGACAACCACCTAAAACTAATATGGGCATGGAAATGTCATAAAATGCAAAGAAACTTAAGGTTTTAATTTTGCTTCCTTTTGTTGGATCCCTGCTTCATCCAACCACTCTATCAAAAACCCACAGGAGTTTTCCACTGTATTTCAGCCAAAAAGTCCATGTTGCCTTAGGGTCCCAGTTGAATGCAGCCAAATGGAAGGCAGGAAGAAGCTTTCCAGATAAATTCATAAAAATGTGCTCATGTAAGATGTAAGTAAATCACATCAAGAAAAATGCAAGCGTCTGGAATAAAAACTCACATCTTTAGTATTATTCTATATAATAACATTAAAAGAGGGATATGATATGAAAATTCTTCACTGAAGCATTCCATCAATATTTAAGTTAAAGAGAACGATCTCTTTGAACAACTGCTTTGCAGGAGGAAATTCCTTTACTCTAGCCACCAAAAGAGCCTTAGAAAAGGCCTTTAATCAGGGCCTTTGAAACAGGAAGGAAAGCATGATTTTCCTCTTTTTCTTCCTTAATGTTTTGAAAAGGAAACAAGCTATTGAAATATATCAAGCGATTTCCTTTACTTGAAACACGAGCAGACTTCTGTGCATTGTGTGCAAAACAAAAATAAATGCCTTTTATCCACCCAGATTTTCTGCGGGCAGGCAGCACCGAGGTGGACTGATCATTATGCGGTTAGGGAATCACAGTCTCGGGACCGAGTCACATCCTACCCAAACAATTATTTTTGGGAATGGGATAATCCTCTTAGGAGACACTGCGGTGATTATCCATGAGTGGCTATTTTGGCTGTGGAGCGAGAAGCAAGAGAGGGAGCAGAAAAGCCCGATGAGATGGCTAAAACACTGCCACCCTTGCAGAGGTTCATTTACCTGAAACAGAAAGCAGGTAAAAAGCAAAACGAAAAAGAGATCCTAGTCCAGTTAAATGGCATCTTGGCTGCAGAGTCAAATGACTTAGCCACTGAAGAATCCTTGCAGCCCAACTTGTCCTCGCTTTGCTTTTGTGAGTCTGTTTTGTTACTCAGTGGGAGCGAGGTAATAACACCAATTTTTGTGGAAAACAACACCAGTTTTTCAGCTCGGTGTGTTGTTTTTATTTCACGGCAGAACACTGCAATTTATAAACAGCAAAACCTAAGGAAAATTCTCTAAATGAAAGACTTTATGGTATATTATCATTTAACCCGTTTTTTACTTCTTTAGATTTACTGGCCTTCCCAAATGCAATCTTAAATGATTCTGAAAGTAGAACAATTAATCCAAAATCCTATTTGTTTTAATCCAAGAGTGTCAACTAGTTTTAGGTTTGCAGTCAAGAGAAAAAAAATGTTTGTTAAGCTCTACAGCACTAGCTAATGTCTAAAGACAATCCTCGGAAAAGGTGCAAAGATGTTTTATCACAGCACCATAGATGGGACGGAGATTTATTATTGTACCGAGCGCCATTCCAGCAGATGCCTTTTGAATTACAATGAGATTATTAAAACTTTACAAATCATTATATTAAAACCTGACAAGAGTACTTTGGGAACCAGAGGATCTTGATGTCATTGCTGATGATGCATAGCCTGTGGTAAGGCTTCAGGAAAATTCCTAAGTAAAAAATTGGTTATAAAAGTATAAAATATATTAATATTTATTTCAGTACCTGCTATAAGTTCAAGGATAATAGGTATATGCATCAGAACAGCTGAATGATCGTATTTATGTCAGCATTAGAAAGATGTTCATCTGCTGCAAAGTTTAATTAATTTTCATAGATAGTTAATTTTCTGTTTCATTATCAGCTCCCTAAATTTGAAAGACAAATAATTTATAAACAAATAGAAACTTCAGAGAGGAGTATTTTTAGAGCAAACAGAAGATAAATAACAGAGTGAAGCATCCACGCTGCCTTCGAAGTACTAATATGAATGATATATTGCAGCAGGTTTTGATTGATAACTTACGCATTCTAGAGCACTGACTGAAAAGAAACAAATTGTTTACTGTTAACCCCAAACCATTTTCAGGTAACAAATGACTCTGATCTTTACCAATCAAATAATGGCTGTGATGCCCTTAAACATCAGTGAATGAGGAATGTGTATGCTCACTGTGTCCTTCCAGGGGTGACCTGATCCCGTAAGGACAATATTCCTGCCCTTCTCCCCTTCCCAGCAAGAAGAAAGTTTAAACAGCTACTTACCGTGATGTACGACGCCCTTCAACCCATGGATAATGGGATCCAGTGCTGAATTGTCCCTCTGACTGACCTACATGCAAAGGATACAGGATTGGTTACATCTACTCTGGCATCAGGCAGAACAGTCTCAGTTTAATCTTCTAAAGAGAAAAAAAAAAAGATGTTATCTAACAAGCTGCTTAGTTCTCACATTTACAATGGATCTTCACCAAATGCCAAAGATACATGGTGTAATAAAATAAAGTGAGGAAGGTTAAATCAAAAGAAAGTGTCCTCTGAATTCTTTAAAACATTAGCCAAATTACCAGCCCTGCAAAGCCTAAAAACACAGAGCTGATTTCTCTCCATCTTCTTCTGCTTTCATAGAGGAAAACTGCTGTGATAAACAGAAGTTATCTTGGACCAGTTCATTCCTTACTGATGTGGCCATAAATCTGGTGCTGCCACTGCACTCAGTGAAGCTGGACCCCTTTCAGCCCTAATGGAGCTGGGCCTTGGCATCTCATTGCTATTCATATTTTTAAGTTTATTTAATTTAGTGTCACTTGGACAAAAGAAAGGGAAAAAAAGCTTTGTGAGAGGATACAGAAAAAAATCACCAGTTTCTGACAATGTAATTGCCTGCAGTGCCAGACCAAAACCTGCAGCATTCCTTCTGTCACCCAGCCCACGTCCTCCGCAACGGTGAGATCCAGATCAGAGAGAGGAAGGGAAGGCAGCAGGAAAGATTAACCCTGTTGAGCTCCACAACTTCCAAATTAAACCCATCAGTTCAGTCCCTTACTTGCACGCAGCCAAGGAATTTACAACCAATAATGCAGTACTTTTTTTTTTTATTTAACCTTTTACCTCTTCAGAGGTATTGAAGGAATAACTCAAATAATAAAACATGTTCCCAGAAATTGTGAGTTACTTGCCAATTTACTTTTGGGAGATAAATACCGGCATGTATCTCATTGATGGGGTAGATTTCTCTTTTTTTTTCCCACCAGTCAGCTCCAGAACCTCAGCAGTGTTAATCATTTCCGGATGGACTGCTCCCAGTGGGCAACACATCAAATGCAAAGGAGCTCCTCTGTACTTTACTGCCTGCTGATGACCTCAATGCCATGAGGAATAGCAGAGTTTAATCACATTATGGCTGTGCATCAACATATTAAGAAAGGACTAGAGACAAAAGAAGAAAATCCTGAGAAGGAACCTTGTGCCCAGCAGGGAACACACTACTGTGTGAAGCACAGAAGCAGCTTGGAGCTCACTCTTAGGAAGGGGACATAATTGACAACAGCACATCCAAAATATGTGTTATTGTAAAAATATCACAAATTTAATGGCCAGACAAGAAAACTGGAATCCACTGTCCAAGTTTCACAATCACATCTCTTCTCATCCTTCCTCCCCGTGACTAATTAGGAATCTTAGAAACCTCATTATCTTCTTAGCCAACTTAGCTGAGATAAACTACAAAAAAAATCACCTTTCTTTTTTTCTATTTATTTGGCCTTTGAACTATTCTGCTGTGTTCCAGATGCATTTTTGTGCACCTCTCTAGAGAGAAAATGGTTTGGTTTGGTGTTGCAAACGGAAATTGAAAATCCTTTCCTCATCACAGTACTCCAGAACTTGCAACAATCAGCTAGGGCAAGAAATGCAATAAAATTATGAAAGCAGAAAAAGCAGCTTTGAAATATATACAGCTTAGATGTCACTGGACATAATACTATTAGCCCTGAAGGCTGTAAGCTCTTTGAAGCATGAACTTTTATATGCCCAAAGGGGTGCTCTATACACTTTGGATCCTGTATAAATAATAATCACAGCACAGTGGACCCAAAGACTCACTTTGTAGGTTCTGTCTGGCATCTGACAAGTCAACAACAAACACTAAAAACACAGAGCCTCTTGTGAGACACATTCCTGAATCTTCTCCATTTATCCAGGTTTCACAAAAAAAAAAAAAAAAAAACAACCAAACACACTCAAAAAAAGATCATTAAAATGCTTCCAGCAGTTAAGTACAAGAATGTAAGAAAACCTTGCACTGGACTTAAACAATGTTTTATTTATTGCTACCTAACCATAAGCAGTAAAGAGTTTTATTTTGTTTACATTGGTTTTATTTCTGGTGACAGCTGCAATCAGTTTGAAGAAGGCAAATAGATAGAAAGAATCCTAAAGGTTAGAACTCTTCCTTTTGGGACTTTGTGTCAAAGCAGATCAATCCTTAACCTCAGTCCTGGCAGCGCCCCTTTAATCTGCTGAGGTGGTATGACTGTATAGATGCACACAGTCTTTTGGATAGCTCATTCTGCAAGTGTGTTGTGTTCTTCAATAGCATAAAATCAACAGGCACGTTATTTCTTTTGGGGCTGGCGAGCAAATGCTCCGTGCATCTGTAATCATGCTTTCTCCAAGGGTATAAGGAGTGGAATCTCATGTTTCCTTAAAAATCACATTCAAACAAGTATCACTTGCAGAGATGTCAGTTCAGACCTAAATGGGATATAGCTTTATTTTCCTTCCAGATGCTTTCCCTCTTTTTTCCTTATACTCTCACATGGTTCCCTCATGCTTCACTACAACTGTTTCAGGATCTTAGCAAGACCATTAGAAAAGTGCCTAAAAGTTTTCTCATTTTGTGGAAGCGTTCAGACTTCAGAACAAAAGTTTTCTTACATCTTTTTCTTCTTCAAATTCTTAAAAAAAAAATCCCAAACTAAAAAAAAAAACCACCTTGAATTTCCTCTCTCTCTCTCTTTTTTTTTTTTTTCTTTTTTCTTCATTTCTCAGTATCCTTTTTCTGGCTGTGTTCACAGAGAAAAGGAGGTTTCTGAAACCCAAAATGTCAAGTTCTATCCCTGTTGCTGTACATCTCTGGTTTAACTGGCCTGCAGCTACCACGCTGGTAGAGATCACAGATTCACCCATACAAGAATCCTGTCTCTGACAACAGCTGATACTCAAAAGAAAGGAAGGGCAAAAAATAGCTGAAGGAAAAAAGGACAAAAATCTTCAGAATAAGAAGTGTCCTTCTGACCTGCTTTATGATTCCATGTCATGAAGCTTGAGCTTATATCCTTCTGCAAACTGCTTTTATCTTTCTTTGTTATATAATAAGTGTTACAAAAGTGAATTTTATTATCTTATGGATATATCCCAAAGCAAAACAGCAATGAATTCTTCAGATTGATTTTACACGCCACACTTCTGCTCATGCCTGGTCTACAGAGTAAGAGAAAGATCATACAACAGCAACTGGGTCTTGGCACTTTAGCTTCACCCAACAAACACCTGCCAAAGCTGGGCAAAGTTTTTCTTTTCCTGTGAGAGAAAAGTCATGAGTTTCCCCCTCCTTCTTCAAGACCCTGGCACTGAAGAAACACCATGAATGGCAACTTTTCAAGCACAGGAATTTCAGGCACAAACACAAACCTGTGATGCTGCTGGCCACGAGCTTGCTGGACAGCATTAAAAGACAGATGGAAAAGCATCCTGAAACTGCCCGAGAATGCCCACAGTACCACTACTACAAATGTTGTTTCCTGAACAAGATGCTTTTGCTCAAGACTGACTAGCACTCTATAGGTCTGAAGAAAACAGATTAAATAACGCTTGTGTGCATCATTCATAATTGAAAAATGCCTGTAATCCTCTTCAGCAGAAATAAACAGGTAGCTATCGTGCTAAGTGCAATGGAAAAACAAACACATTAAGCAGTTCCCTGTGCTAACACAGCTCTCACCACAGAGTAAATATGGGGTGAATATGGCATGAAGCAGCAAAATCTCCTTGTTTCTCGCACCCTTTGGTGACTTCGATACCTGGTGCACATGCCATTCCAAACAGAACAAATGGCTTGCTGTTAATGCAATGAACAAAACAAACATCTACAATACAGGAAAAGGTAAGGCACAAGTGACCCCATTCTGCAGTCATAAACTAGGGATGTTTTTCACATGAAGTCATGGTGGAAATCATTACTTGAGACAGGTTAGACTTACAGCTCCCACATTTGATCCAGGGACCGAGAAATGATCCCTTCCTCAGTGAACAAGGTTGATCAAGTCATGAATTCTATTGACAATAGTGTTAACACCTCTCAGCACCACAACCTGTTGTCCCCTTGCTGCAATGTGCTGTTTTTACAGCTCTACCCTTGAGGGCAGACCAGGGAGCTCAGCAGCTTCTCAGGATAACATTATTAATGCTCCCAAGAGGACAGTTCCAGTGAAAAAGCAGAGCAGGAGTGCAAGGAGGACACACAGCACCTCAGCCAGGCTGTCCATGCCAGTATAGGCACCAAGCCAGAGCATGTGAAAACAGACTGCACTGGGTAAGGCAGTACTCTGTGGAAAGCCCCTGTGTTACAGCAGTACTAACTCAGCGTGTCCCAAGGAGTTAAAATGTCCCAACCAGTTCTCATTCTCTATCACTCATTGTATATTAAGTAGCTAAAGCTCTCTGTTCATCTGATTATTTTATAGGACAAACTCAGAACCTCCTGAAGACCCTGATTTCTCAAAACTCAGCAGAGCTGTAAAGTGTTAAAATTTGTGTCACATGCTATATAATTTAAGCCACGTGCTGAAGTCATGTAAGTAATCCACGACCTGTCTTTCTGCTGGAAACAGTTCTATAGAGCAGTAAGAAAAGGTCTCTGGCAAAAATACCAAGTTTGCAATGCTTATTTCAGAAACAGTAATAAATAAAACCAGGGGAACCCCCAAATACACAGGGAGGCAGTTGGAGAGGCCAACCAGCAACACCAGACTCTACTTCCAAGACTCCTGCCCAAAGGGTCAGATTCCCCCTCCCCTTCCACATTGCTCTGGGCAGCATCCCAGAAAACCAGGTTATCCTCCCACCAGCCAATGCAAACAGGGCTCAGGGTTACACCACAAGGTTCTCTAATGATCACTTGAACCAGCCACCTGGTGAGAATTAGGTGAATATTAACTACTTGAACAGCTCAGGGGTAAGGAATACACTTCCCTTTTCAAAATATGTTTAAATAGATCTGTTGGGTGGAAAAAAAGGGTGTGGGGGAAAAAAAAAACCATCTATTTGTGT